TGAGCTGAACTCCCGTTAGGAGCCACCCTGTAAGGGAAGGAACTGCACTCGGAGCCTTTGTCCGCCCATTACACAGAGGAGAACAGAGAGGCTCCCAGCAGGGCAGCCAGGATGGCCTGGGAGCAGAGGATGCAGGGTGTGCCCGCCTCAGGAAGGGGCACCGCTCGTCCTCTCCACCACCAGCTGCGAGGAGCCGGGGGACTTTGTGTTCCAGGCTCAAGTGTGACCTGAGCCCCAGCTGGTAGAGTTTGTCCACGAGGGGATGCCCCTCTGTCCCACTGACTGTCCATCCGGCTCCTCTCAGACCACCCTGTGCCGGCCCAACGCTCCCTCCCAGGGGACATGCCCAGCTCAGGTAGGGCGGGGCCAGCCCCACCGAGTCTGACCCTGGCCGCCCGCACTGAGAACCAGGCTGCTCGCTTTCAGACCGGCTCCTCACATCCTTCACCTGTAATACAGGGTCCCCCTCTTTCTGGGCTGGGCGCCCCTCCACATGCACAAACAGGTGTCCTCTGCACCGAGCCTCTCCCACCTGCTCTGTCCTTGGACCTTGGTGGCCCTGGGAGCAGCCATGCTGTCCTGCTGGAGGCTCAGGGCTTTGCAGACGTGGAACAGGCACATCCGGGTTCTGCTAGATTTGCTACTTCATTGGTCACGATCTCCACTCAAACATACCGTCCACACCCAGGAGTTTCCAGAGACCAGGCCTGGGGTCCCTGAGAATCTCCCCGGTGCTGCCCCAGATCTTGTGTTCCATGGTGGGAGAGTGGTGTCAGATCCAGGCCAGCTCCCCTCCTGCACCTCCTGCCATGCAACCCACAAAGCCCTTCTGAGTCCCCACCCTGCTCCAGCACCAGAGGGTGGTCTCCTGGCACAAACCCTATGCCAGGGCAGCCAGTGTGAGGTCCCAATGCCCAAGGCCCTGTGCCCTGGGGGCCCTGGAAGGTGGTGCCCCAGGCCTACCCTGCCCCTCCCAGGTGCCCCTGCAGCCAGAGGGCAGCACCCTGAGCTCAGCGCTGCATCGCATGCCCGCCCCGAGGGCATAAGGCTCTTCTGGGGCGTCTATGGGACCCAGGAGGGGCCATCATCGCAGGGACAGAGCTGTGCTCCCCTGTCTCTGAGGCAGGTCTCACAGCCAGGCTAGCTCTTCAGCCAGCAGCTCTGAGGTCTCTTCTGGAATATTCCCCAGTACCTCCTCCCTCCACACACCCTCTCCCCCGAGCCAGGTGTCCTGAGCTGCTCTCTGCTGATGCCTGGCTGCCCCTCTGTTATGCGGACCAGCCTGGCCTGGCTGGTCTCCACACCCGGGAGTCCGCTCTGCAGTGAGTGGCGAGTACAGAGGCGGCCAGGAGAGCCCTGTGAAGACCAGGGGCCGCCATGAGTAAGAGGTTGGGACCTCCTCCCAGAGGTTTCATGTCTTGTGTTGTTTGTCTGAGTCAAGTCTCCAAGGGGCAGGAGGAGAGGATGCCTGGGCGGCCCTCACCTCTGTCTCTGGGTCCCTGCCCTCCCCGGGGCCCCCATCCAGGCATCCTTTCCCTGGGTCCCCCCGGAGCCTGGACCCCTGGGTGCAGGAGAGGCGGGGGCACCTGCTCTTCCTACCGGTCTCCCTCAGCCAGGCCAGCACCTGCTCTGGTAAAGGCATCGGTAGGGCCTCATGTTGAACTGGTTTAAAGCGGCCTGGCCCACAGCGACGTGGGGAGCGGAGAGCATGCCTCTCCCTGGGTCCGTGCGGTGAGAAGAAGGAAGGAAAGGAACCCTGTGTTTTCTGGGGAAGGACAGTCCCTCCCCATGTCCATCTCTGGAAGGTTGAGTGAAGAATGTAAAGCAATTCCTACATCCTTCTGGAATTTTCCACGGAAATGTGCAAACTTCTGAACAGGAGGAAGGATGCAGGCCCAGGGGGAGAGGGCGGGTGCAGGTGCGGGGGAGCGGCCCCTGGGCAGGTGCACGCTGTGCTGGGATGTGTGCTGTTCCCTTGTCAGGGAAACGGGGGACAGGGCGGGGAGCCCTGGAGAAACCCAGGCTGAGGTCAGAGAGCCAGGAGGGCCCACTCTGCCCCGTCGCTCTGGGCCTGGGATGGATGATCTGGATGTGTCTGGAGTCAGGGCCAGGCTGCTCTGTAGGAGGTGTCAGGTCTGCCCTCCTGAGCCCCAGTCCAGCCCCGGCCTCAGCACTGTTGCCAGGCTGTCCAGGCCCCTCTCCAGTCTCAGGCCCTGGGCAGAGGGCAAAGCTCTGAGATGGGGGCCCGGGAGATGGGGGTGGAGCAGCACAGTAGGACCACCTGTCCTCTGCTCGGGGTGCCCCCTCCACCCGGACACGGCACCTTGTGGATGTTTTGGTCCCTTGTTCCCAGAAATGGAGATGGGGCTTCTGTCAGAGCCCAGAAATGGAAAGGGAAGGAGCAGATGGGAGGTTGAGGTTCTTCCCATAAGTGTCCACATCTCCTTTTTTGGTCAGAGAGGAAGGAGGCATCAGGTGTGTCCGCAGACCCTGACGTGGTTCCGTTTTGTCACGTGTGAGTGAGTGAGCCTGTGCCCCTTGCCTCTGAGCCGGGGATGGGCTGGGCCCGTTGGCACCGGCACAGTTGGGGGTGAGGCCTGCTCTTGACATATTTGTGGCTTTTAGGGTCCTGGCGACATTGAGGGGGAGCTGGCTGGTATCACCACCCCAGGGTCACAGCCTGCAGACTGGGCAAGGTGTGCGGCCTCCCACAGCCCCCACGAAAGGGTGTGGGGCCCTTCTCCCTGGGAGTCCTCGGCCTCAGCCCCTGGCTGCCAGCGGGGCCCAGGCTCCTCCTCTGCTGGGTTTGCATCCTGACTGCCAGGAGCCGGCCAGTGGGGAGGGGACCCTCCACACAGAGTCAACCCTCGACAATTGTGTCTGTTATTGCTACTCTCCACTTACCAGCGTCCACCTGCTCCAGAGCCTCAGGAAGAAGGAGGGGAGCCTGTGATCCATCCGCAGAACCGGGTTTTGCGTGTTGTTTTCTGCTCCCAAGAACCCCTCGACCTGGTCTCCCCTGAGTCCCGTGAGGACAGTGGCTGGAGGCCCGGAGCTGCGCTGGGCACATCCCCTGGGAGGGATCGTGGGGCCGGCACCGGGTGGTCTGAGAGAAGCCGGGTGGACAGTCAGTGGGACAGAGGGGCATCCCCTCGGGGACAAACTCTACCAGCTGGGGCTCAGGTCACACTTGAGCCTGGAACACAAAGTCCCCGTTCATCGAGGCTGGGGGTGGAGAGGACGAGCGGAGCTCCTTCCTGAGGCGGGCACACCCTGCATCCTCTGCTCCCAGGCCATCCTGGCCGCCCTGCTGGGAGCCTCTCTGTTCTCCTCTGTGTGATGGGTGGACAAAGGCTCTGAGTCCAGTTCCTTCCCTTACAGGGCGGTTCCTAAGGGGAGCTCAGCTCACGTTGGTCTGCCCTGCCCTTCCTCTCAGGGCAGAGTCTCCCTCCTGGCTCAGCCCCGCAGGTCCCTGCACTGGGCCCGGCCGTGCCCTGCACTGGCGGCCGCAGGAGAGTCAGGGATGGGCACCCGGGGCCTGTCCTGTGAGAAATCAAAACCTAACTTGCCCCTGAGGGCACAGGCGGAGACATTTGTGCAGAAAAGTTCCCTCTTCTATGACTCAATGTGGTGGCATGAGTGGCCTGAGTTTAAGGAAGGGGTGGCGCTCAGCAGTGCTAGCTCAGTACTTTCCAGATTCTCGGTTGGCATATAAGGCACCTCGGTCCTTAAAAGTGTCCCAGACGGAGGACGGGCTGTGGCTAGAAGAGAAGGTGAAGGAGCTGAGACATGGAGGACAACCCAGCACCAACTGGCAGGTACCACCCGCCCCTGGAGCAGCCCTGCTTCTGAGCCCCTCCTTCTGGCTCCCTGAGGGGACTTGCCTTCTCCTCAGAAAACCCCCTGCTTCTCCCGTCCATCCTGATGGCCCTTCTATGTCCAGGACCCCTCAGCTGATGCCCAGCTGGCCAGTCCTAGCCACCTTCCTTAGATCCCCAGCTAGAATCTGGGGGTCGCCCTTGAGGGTCCCTGTTTCTCCTCTCTCTCTGTCTCCCATGAAATCTACTCCTTCTGCTCTGAACTGAGGCCCTAGGACAGGGGTGAGCAACCTTTTTGTGAGTGCGTGCCAAACCCAGCAAAATCCCTGACTAAAAATTGTTCTGCGTACCAACCCTAATTTTTTGACAACATGTTACGCCTACTTAATATCTCTTAAGGTGTACGTATGTGAAGAACCTTGAAGAAATAATAAAATTCATCTGAGCAACAAAAACACACTATATGATGATGAAAAATACATTTCTTTTTTAATGTATACATGTACACTGATAGTCCGACAGAAAACTTTATGACTCCGTTTGATATTATCAGTGGGACTTTTGCTGCTGTATCACTGATGACAGAGATTTTACGTCAAGTTTATATTTCGTGACCTTCAGAGACATGCACGAGCTACTACTTTCTTCTGTCAGGCTGTTCTTATTATGAGACTTAACAAAATTCATCACTGAGAACAAAGATTCACAAGCGTATGTGGATGAAATCATAAAGAGTAACGCTGTTGCAAAGTTTTTTGAACAGAAAAAATTTTCTGGAATGGCATTTCAAGTCCTCAATAGTTCATTTTTGACACTATTGAAATTGCTCTTCAACTCTCTTGTCAATCCGTGTCTATGGTCTTTAAGATAACTTGTTATGTAAAATTATTTGTTTATGTAAGATGCACCTATGCTGAATTTATCTGAAAAATAAAGAAGTCGATATTAAGAAAAAAAATTGTAATGGAAGATTATAAGAAGGGTTTCGCGTACCAGCAAAAGTTACTGGCGTGCCAGGGGTTGCCCACACCTGGCCTAGGAGGTCATGTTAAGATTTATGTTTTGATTTTTGTAAAGGACATGATTGTTTTCATGATGAGAAAGGAAATGTGATGAGTTATTTGAGAAGACTAGTTTTGCTTCTCCTTTCCTCGATGGGGCCACCCTTTCCCCTGATGCACCATGTGGCTCAGGTTAACCCAGAAGAGCAGAGGAAACAGCGCCACTGGCCTGCACCTGGCAGGGCTGGGTCAGCGGGACGAGGGCAGGACAGTGATGCCAGGAGAGGCCCCATCGGAGCTCTGAGCCCCTGCATTGCTCTCGGGGAAACCCTGATAAAAGCACTGGGCTGACTCCTCCAGGAGCCCCCAAAGGAGTCAGAGGGAGGTTAGGTGTCCCAGCTAAGTGACTGGACACCCATCCTCTGTGGGTCTAGCTGGGATGTGGGTGCAGAGGGGAGGAGAACGGGGTGATCCCCAGAGGAGCCCCATGCCTTGGGTTCCTCCTGCCTGTGCCCACAGACCCCTGATCAAAGGAAGTACCTTCAAGAGAAACTTCCGTAACAAATGTAAGAACCAAACATACCTGTGCTACGAGGTGGAGGTCTGGGAGGGCAACGCCTGGGCCCCAGTGGAGGAGCTCCAGGGCTTCCTGCGCAACCAGGTGAGCGAGCACAGCAGGCAGGGCCCCGGGACACTCGGGGAGAAGGTTCCATGCCCGTGGGGTGTCCTCTGAGCAATGTCCCTGGGCCCCCAGCTGCTGTGGCATTGCCGAGAGGCAGGGAGGACGGACTCTGCTGTGATTGGCAGCTTGGAGCCCCACATCAGAAAGCAGTCACAGTGTCCCAGGGCCTGTGCCCTCCAGCCCAGGGTCAGCCCAGCCTCCAGGGTCAGCCTGTCCCTCCTGCTGTGCCTCTGAGGAGGGGTCAGGCCAGAGGGCAAGGCACCTGGACAAAGGGGCCGTCCCCCCCCCGGCCCCCTCCCCCCGCCCCTGCCCGGGCCGCCTCTGGTCAGAGAGCCAGAGCTCCCCCTTGGTGCTCCCTCCAGTCACTCCTGGGAGAGCCTGGAGGGTGCTGTCCCCACAAGTGCATTGCCAGCTGCACGTAGCCCAGGACGCCTCCTGGGTCCCCAGGTACCATCCTCTGACAACAGGGCTCTGTGCTAGCTCCGTGGGCCTGACTTCTTCCTCCTCCCTGAGCCCCTGGTTGAAAACCCTTCCCTGGGCGGGTGGGCTAATCTCCATAATCTGTGAGCCCAGCAGCAACGCTCATCCCGTGTCTCCCGCAACTCTGCCTCGGTGCCCTCACCCCTTCTTCCCACAGAGTTGTGTCACCCTTGGGCACAGCACAGGGGGAAGCCCAGAGTAGAAGCCTGTGGAGGTGTTGGTGCACAGGCGGGAGCTGGAGGTAGGGGAGCAGAGGGAGAGCGCCCCTGCCTGGAGGGAATACCCACCCCTGTGGCATCAGGCCCAGGACCTTGGGGCTCAGCTGCCTCCTCCCTCTGTCCTCAGCTATTTATATATAGATATATATGTTTATAGATATCTAATATAGATGATAGATGATATATCATTCTGAGAGTGTTGTTGTTTCAAGTGGAAAGAGAGAGAGAGAGAGAAACATCAGTGATGAGAGAGAATCATTCGTTGGCTGTCTCCTGCACACCTCCTCCTGAGAATCAAGCCTGCAACCTGGGCCTGGGCCCTGACCTGGAATGGCACCGGTGACCTGATTGTGGATGGGTCACTGCTCAACCCACTGAGCCACACCGGCTGGGGTGCCTTCAGCTCTTTGTCTCCCTGCAGGGTCTGACTAGGTGCAGCTCCTGAAGGCATAGGCTTTGGGCACCAAATTGAGCCTCTCTGGGAACGCTGAATCAAGGTGAATCACATGGAGCCCAGATCTGTGTTCTCAGTGATTAGAGCATCAGCCTGGACAGCCAGGGGCCAGGGGTCGGATTCCAGGTCAAGGGCACTTACCTCAGTTGCAGCTTTGATCCCTGGCCCCGGGTCGTGGAGCGTGGTGTAGGCAACCAGTGGATGTGTCTCTCCCACATAGATGTTTCTCTCTTTCTGCCCCCTCCTCCATCCCTTCACTCTTTCTCTAAAGATCAATGGAAAAAATCTCCCCAGGTGAGGATTTGAAAAAAGAACCATATTTAATGCAAAACTTTAAAAAGTCAAAGCTAATTCAAAGTCCATGGTGGATGAAATATCAACAGGCTAAGAGAAGCCTGATCAGCTACAGAGCCATGGGAGCCAAGGTTTGCTGATGTAGAACATGTCCTCTCTGCTCCACTGCCCTTTGTAGATGCTGATATTATGTGATTCGTGAGTCGCCTTACCTTTGACCGTGTAGATCCTGCATTGAAATAGCGTTCATCCTGACGCTGAGCTGTGCCCCTTCAATCCTGTGCTGGAGGCCAGAGCCTCACCTGCCTCTGGCTGGTGCCACCCTCCCCTGTTCACAGCAAGTGACAGATCCCTCCTCTCCCCGCTCTGTGCTCAGGGTGCTGACACACACAGGGAACGCCGTCATGCAGAGTTGTGCTTCCTGGATCGGGTCCCTTGTTGGAACCTGGACGGATTGAAGAAGTACAGACTCACCTGCTACATCTCCTGGAGCCCCTGCCCTGACTGTGCTCTGGAGCTGGTTCAATTCCTGGGCTTGAAAAGCAACGTGAGCCTGCGCATGTGCACTGCTGGCATCCGAACCACATTCCCTGGACATGAGGATGGGCTGCGCAACCTGCGGGACGCTGGGGCCCAACTCACCATCATGACCCGCGATGGTCAGCAGGGACTCCTGAGGGTGGGAGGTGGGCGGGCGGAGAGGCTGGGAAATGGCTACACAGAGGGGGCAGGAGGAGAATCCAGATGGGGACGCCTATCAGCTGCCTGCAGGGGGGCTGCTTAGTCTGGAGAGGATGGAGTCCCCTGGAGGAGAGAGTTCAGGGGAAAGAGGGGGTCCTGGGAAGGGGGGAGGTGGTTCCATGTGCCATCAGGACCCAGGTCCTTCCTGGTAGAAGGGGAGGGGCTGCCTCAGATTCCAGTGGAAGAAAGAATTTGAGGGATGAGCTCAGTGCCTTGGGAGGAGAGAGAAAGGGGGCAGGGAGATTCTGATGGGGAGGGTGTGTCCCTAGAGTCAGACACCTGGGCCCTCCCCACTCTAGAAGGAGCTCACCTTTCCCTCCCTGTTCCCATAGAGTATGAGCACTGCTGGGACACCTTCGTGGACAACCAGGGCCAGCCGTTCAGGGCCAGGGATGAACTGGAAGTACACATAGGAGCCCAGTGTCAGAGGCTGGAGAACATTCTCTGGGTGAGGTTCCCCCCTGCCCTTCTCTCCTTGGGCCTGTCCCTGTCTCTGGGCCACCTGCTCCCTCCTGGGCCCCAGCTCCATCCCTCCCCTCAGGTCTCACAGTCCCCCTGCTTTCTCCCCTCTTGCACCCCTTTTCCTCCCCCACCTTTGTGACTGCCCCAGACTCTTCCCACCTGCCTCACTCCCTGCTTCCTCCACCTCCTCCTTCTTGATCCAGAATCCAGGAAACTGAAGGATGGACTCAATCTCTCTAAACAGTCGGGGGTCTTCTGGTGAACGACGCATCAAACACTTTCTTCAAGAAATGAAAGCGCATCACGTGCCACCATCCCCAACTTGTTCTACAGAAACCAGCAAAAGGCAACAAATGGGCTCAGAAGGAATTTTTAAAAATCTGATTGATTTACTTTTCATTTAAAAATCAATGATATGTTCCAAATACACACCAGTAACATTCTATTCATTACTATCAGAGTCATTTTTTACTTTTAGGGACATGATTATTTCTTATTGATTTTAAAACTAAAGCAATAAAATGAAAGATTAAGAATCTCCATAAAATGTCTTTTCCTCTGTGTGTCATGAAGTGCAAATCATTCAATAAACACCTGCAAAGTGCAAAGGGCTTTCTCTTCTGTGGGGACCTTCACAGGAGGGCCGTGGTCATAGTAATTCCTGCGGGTCAAGAAAAAGTCAATGATGTTTATAGGATGAGAGGAGCCGGACTGAAAGGGAGCAGCCTGGTCCTCAGTGGGGCAGCCAGGGTTGGACTCCATGGGGCTGGCCCTGCCCTCCCTGAGCTGGGCACGTCCCCTGGGAGGGAGCATGGGGCCGGCACAGGGTGGTCTGAGAGGAGCCAGATGGACAGTCAGTGGGACAGAGGCGCATGTACCTTGGTTGCAGGCACATCCCTAGTGGGAGGTGTGTAGGAGGTAGCTGATGAATGTTTCTCTCTCATTGATGTTTCTAACTCTCTATCCCTCTCCCTTCCTCTCTGTAAAAAAATCAATAAAATATATATATTTAAAAAAACAACAACCTGAAACAAGGGTTCGATGAGGGCCCCCAGCCACGTGCAGATCTGGGGAGGGTGGCGGATGGCAGGGGACAGCTGTCCTCGTGGGTGTACGACTGGCTGAGGCCGGACTGGTTGTTGGGGGTGTGTTGTGTGTTTTTCTCCTTCTCACAGCACCATCAGCCTCCAGGGAGCGTCAGCTGAGTCCACAAATACAATACTGAATGGAAGAAGTCACATCTCAACGGAGTCATGTTGTTTCATTCCACTTCTATGAGGTGCAAAGTCAGGCAAAAACCAACCTGTGGTAATGGAAGTGCTCACACGGTTCCCTGTGGAGG